AAAAGAGCTCTATATCCTTCTGTCCTTCTCATCCCAGGAACCACCAATGCTGAAGAGCAGAAATTAGCAGAACTTGTATGTTATGTAGAAGAGTTGAAAAGAGACTATAGTTTTAGGGTTTTCTGTTCACGTATTAATTCTGTATAAATATGCATTAATTTGTTTCAGAGAAGTAACTAGTCAGCTCTTAGAACGGGCAAAAAGCCAGTCATTTTTTCCACTCCTGAAAAAGAAGCTTTAGCCCCAAAACTTAGCCTAAAAATAGGGCAATGTGTAGGTTTCACTTAGCTTTAGAATCAGCAAAATCTGCCACTTCAGTGATGTACATGATTGCAACACCACCCAAAACAAAGTTTATTTAAAAAATACTACAGTCTATATGCAAAAAGATTGAAAGAAAAACTCCAATTAAGGTTTACAAATATTTAGTGAAAGCAAACATGAAGGGTGGAAAAGATTATTAAATGTTGCTATAATGTACAATCAGAATAGAAAAAAATAAATCAAGCAGAAGTTCAGGTGCAGTCTACCATAAAACTTTCAAACTATGATATCTGACTTGATCAAACACTGAAGTACAGTGAAAGAAGTTCCAGCAAATTCAAAATCTAAAACTTGACTGGACACAGTTCAGCAACAGTCAATGAGGGATAGATGACTGGGTCACTTCCACATATAACTTCAGTGAATACATCAGTTTAATCACCTAAGAAAATTCATTAAGTTGAAGCCACAGATACTACCTTAACAAGGAATCAATTAGACACTAATTAGACATTATAACCATGTAAACACTATTTTCTAACCATTTTCTAAAGAACATTTTAAGAAAAGAGAATCCAGAGGATGGAGCATTCAAATCTTCCTAAATTTATTCAAAAGAATAAAAGAAAAAATATAGGTTACAAAGTGTTATGCTCAGCAGTAATCCTACTAAAACAGTATTGTATTGGTTCTTAGATCTGTTGTGTGTACCTGTTTCCTTATTTTTTCCAGTGAAAGCTATTTACCCTAAGTAAAGAGGCAAAAGTAGAGAGACACTAGAACTTACTCTGTCTCAATATACCTTCAGCAGAATTGTTACATGAGTTGTGACAGCAAAAGCCTTCGTCACTGATGAAAATGCATGAACCAAAGGGCACGTATGTTCTTTAGCATTACATTTAACATCTGAGGCATTCGTGTCTAAAATTAAACAAATAGTTCTTTCAAACTGGATTCAGAAACAACATACAGACTTAACAGAAGTTGAATTCTAATTTGATACAAGTCACTAACAGACACATTGTTCTTAAAATAATGGAAAACTTCAACTGGAATTGAAAGTAGAGATTAAGTGGATTAGGACAGTGGAACACCTGGAAATCCCAAGAGTAACAAAATAATAATGCTTAAATCTATCTTTCTGAGAGCAAAAGACTTGTATTAATCAGGAATCTTATTTTTTCTTCAGAAACAACAGAAGAAATTAGTTGCTTAAATGCTACAATGCTGAGTATCATCAGAGATGATACCTCTACAAAACAAAGAAAAATTAAAAAAAGCAAACTATAAAAAATTTAATGAAATTTAAATACTTTATTGAAGGGAGGAGAAGGTATGAAAAACACTTTTCTGAAAAATAATTTGCAGGATTTAGACAGTAGTTCAGGAAATGACTACTAGAAACGTTTTTTATCAGAGAGAGAAAGGAAGGAAAAGTCCAGTAAAAGAAAACAAAACTGAGATACACTTAGCCTGAAAACAGGAAATTTAGTTTTCCTGGAAAGAGAAATGTTATAAGCTGAAAAGACTTATAACTCTTCGCAAGTGTTCTAGAAGGTAACTTTTTGTTGAAAAGTGTACAGGATAAACCAAGAAATGTTTTAACAACAACAAGAAGAATTGTTTCAGGGATTTGATAGATGCGATGCTATTCCCAGAGCTTTGTGTGCAGATTTTTGTTTCTTGAACCAAATCATAACACTTTTATAACATAAAAACTATAATGTATTCTTTCAACTAAACACGTTTTCAAAAAATGATTAAAATATTGGTACTATAGCTTGATCAGTGCAGCTGGAAAACTGATTCACCAGGATATTTTACTGTGAAGCTGCCTGAGACTGCACTGCATCAATTTTCCAGTAGGTATAATTTTCAACTAAGAAAATTGCATAGACTCAAGGAAAAGCATAGTGTTTATTTTCCTTCAGCTTCTGGTGTTTGTCTGCATTTTGTTTAGTTTAAAATTTATACAACTTGAATATTACTTAAAAACTAGCAATTTTTTCATGGTAATATTAATTTAGATAAAATGAATTAATTGAAATGATACACCAGAGAATGACTTATGGTTCTTGGGATCAGAAATGAGTTCACGAACTGTCCAGCAGCCCTACAGTGCTAGGGTGAATATTCCTCCTCTCTTCTAATGACCCCACTTGCTGCCAGTTCTCAAACAACAGCCTAGGAAAGAAGCAAAACAAGGTCACACATAGTTAAAGCTTCCAGAAAGTGTTCTGCCACTGAGAACTGTTCTTCTAACCAGAACCCTCAGCAGTGTGAAGTTGGTGGGAAGTGAGAGACTGTGAGCCTGCTGTCTTTAAGAGTTTGCTAAGCTGAGAAGAAAATCTGTTTGGAGAAACAAAGGAGAGTTGAGACGAGGGACAGCAGCAGAGCCTAGGACACTGTAAGGGAGTAAAGGCAGATGTGTCCTGAAGTTCCTCACAGCAGAAAGAAGCCTACTAGATTTCGACAGGCCAATGTAACAGCTGGGAGAAGGTTCCTGTTGGCTCTTACTTGAACAATGCCTGCCACACTGGGAGCTGTTCTCCGCAGTGGCAAGAAGGTGTTGGGAGCAAGCTGTGCTCTCACAGTATCTCTCAGATCCCAGAGCTAGTCCAGTACAAGCAGAAGAGGCTGCTGAGTCAGGGAATGCTGACCTGAGGGTAAGGTCAGACAGCAGTTAGTCTACTTAGGGTATCTCAGAAGATAGCAACATAATACTGTATATCATATAATATATAATAATCTATTGAGAGTTTAAAAGGTGAGGTTAAAAGGCTATTATAATTAAGAATAGGAAGACTTTATGATGAAAAGATGACAGGGTTCATTATAAGAGAATATTTACCCCAGTTCCTAATTAGTACTGGATTCAAAAGCATAATTCAAACCACACACATAATAAGCTAGAAACTGGCAGAACTAGGAAAGCAGAGGACAAGTGACTGGCATTAAAAGAAAAGAAGCAGGAAATCCTGCTTCCTACAATAAGCTCTGACATTGATTTATGGACCCTCACCGTGGACCTTACGCATGTAGGCAAGACTGTTCTTAATCTGTGAAAAAGCGACAAAAAGGTTTCTGTAAGCTGGCAACTGAACATTCTCCCAGAACAGAAAGCTCAGCAGAGTAGGAAACAACTGGGACACATTGCAGCTTGGTAATCCCATACAGATCCAGTGTGGTTTTTTTTGTTTTGTTTGTTTGTTTTTTTATATTAGCTACAACCTTGTGCTTTAAATAAGAAATATCCAAAATTTATTATTTAGATCCTTTGATCCACTGTTTATTTGGTATAGCTCGACATTCAGCCCTTAATCTTTCTGAGCCTCAGTAACGTACTGTTTGTTGTTTTTTTCTTTTTTCTTTTCCCCTTTTTTTTTTTTACCTACCTTCCATGGATTCTGCAAGATTACTATAGGCGATATTAGTGATTTGATTTAGTACTGAATTATTACTGAAATGGATACTTAACACAGTATTACTGAATAGTAATACACCTATCAAATGAGGTGATGAAGTAAAGATTAAGAAAGATTTGGGAGCCTTTGTTTTCTCTTTTTTTTTTTTTCTCTCTCTTCTTTTTTTCCTTTTTTTTTTTTTTTAATCCTAAGAAGGGACAGGGATTTGTGTGAGCAAATCTATCAAAAAACTGGATGCAGGTCCTGAGATCAGTTTTTTGGCTGGTATGTTGAACTGAATCAGACCATGAGGGAGCCAGACAATATTGTTTCCCCATTCCTTACATTTCTTCTTAAGTTTTCAGACTGATGCATATTTAGAAACAAAATCTAGGCAGGTGGGCAGGACAATGTGATAGAAATGCCAGGCATAAAAGCAAGTAGACAGGACAGCAAAAGAGCAAGTATCAGTGAGTAAGCAGACTCAAAGAGCAGCGAGGGGACACTATAATCAAGAAGCAGGTGAAAAGGCAGGAGGAAAATGCCAGACATTCAGCAAGTCGATAAAGCAGTACCACACAGCAGGAGTGCCAAGCAGCAGAAGAACAACTCCGCAAAGTCAGCAGATGCACTCAGCAGGAAGGTGATGTCAGGCATTTGAAGTGGGAGACGGGGCAGTGGAAAGCCGATGCTGACGTGTGATCAGATACAAGGGACAGGAAGGCGGCGACATGTGCCAGTCAACAGATGGACAGGGCAGGAGGTAGTCACTGTCGAGCAATTAGCTGGTCAAGAGGTAATGCCAGACAGTCAGGCAAAGGGCCAAGATTTTGGGAGGACAATGCCACACAGCCAGCAATAGAGAAAATAAGAGAGAGTAGTGAATGCCAGGCAGTCCCCAGACAGGCAAGGTAGCAGAAGACCAACGCCCATGGATAATCAGATGCAACTGTCAGCAAGGATAAAACATAAGCCTGTTAACTGACTGACAAGGAAGCAGGGTGACAGTGCTTTTTCAACAACTTAAGATACCATGAGTGAAACAGTCCCAAGAATCTAGATGCTCACCCTCTGGTAATATCATTAGATCAGAGCAAACCATGAAAATCCACAGAATAGCACACAAATGGAAACAGCAGATGAGTCTGACCCTAGCACTTGGGGAGGTCATGGGACCTTCCTATAAAACAAAAATATGAGAATCCACAAGAAAATCAAATGAATGGGAAAAATGTATCTAAAAACTGCTTCTGATGATGATTTAAAAAGCAAAAAAATACTAGCAAAGAATTAGTTTGGAAATGATTGGGTGGGATTGAAGATGTTGCTTACCCCTCTCTGGAGCCCACATAATGGGAATGTTGGGAATTTCTGCAGCAGAAAAACAGAAGAGAAAAGGGATTTCTGACTCCCAGTTCAAGGAAAGCATGTCAGTTTAGGACTGGGTAACCTCTTTGGGCAAAAAATAAGAATTCAGCTGAATCTTTGTCCATCCCCAGACACATGCCTTTACTGAGGTTTGCGAAAAATTTAAGAAGCCCACATTCACTTTTATCTCATGACATCCCACCCTTGTTCCCCAAAACCACACTTACCTCTAGCACAAGGTGTATAAGAGGGGAAAGGGGATGGTCCTGTGAGCTCATTCCCATATCCACTGCAAAATATCTTGTGAAGATGAACAGGAGTACCCGTTAGCCGATGACGGCCATTTGTGAGATAAACTGCACAAGTCATTAACTGTTACTCATCACTAGTGTAGGCTCGTGTTTGAATTTGGCTTAGATAAACCCGCACTAAAGAACAGTATTAGTCTTGTGAGTCTTGTGGGATAACCTCCTTCTGTGGCAAGAGTTCCAAAAGTCCAACACTTATCAATGCTTTTGATGCACAGAGCACTCTGTTATTTAACATGGTTGTTCTTTTAAACAAACTAAACCATGTTACAGAAACGTTAGCTGTTATTCCATTTCAGAAACACACAATGAAGTCTGGAATGCAAGAACTGATAAAACAGCAATAACTCAGTTCAGTAATTTAACTCATCTGTCATTCCAGTCATGGGTCTCTTTATTCATCTTCCTAGTCACTAAAAGCCAACCAGCCAGGAACCAAACTTTACTATTTCTGTTCTCTTAAAGGTCTACATTATGCGTGTACGTATCCACCTGTACGTTAACTTCTTATGCTAATGCTGAAAAATGACACCCATTTTGATCGAGCAATAACATGCAACAAGAAGCCAACTCTTCCCTTTCGTGCAAACTGAAGAGCCTTAGACACAACAAAGGAATGATTAGTTCTACTGTGCATTGCTGAATTAAGATTTAGAAAGGTCACAGAAACAGTATCCACACAAAATTGCTGTGTATTCATAAGCAACAAAGGTTTTAAGGAATATGGTACAGTAGTAAGAGGCTAAGCTGATGGAACGTTATTTATACTGATCCTCTGGGTATCAGCCATTCATTTTCCCTTCAGCTGAGTAAGGCACAGGAATAGTAGAAGATAATATAATTTCAATTTTAGAAACTGGTCACAGAACAGGAATCTCTTCCATATCCCAACTTCCCTGTATCAAAAACTATTTGGGCTTAGAGTGACAGGAAATTTAGGCAGAGGAGACTGAGATTTATGTTATATGATTAGTAAAGGCATAAACTAGCCAGGAGTAACACACCGCAAATGACTGAACAGGAGTTGATATGAATACTCCAAAGCACGAGATACTTACAGCACATACTAGCAGTTTTATCAGATCATATGATTTTGTGGCCAGCAGCAGCTAGAGTTAGCTGAACCGCATCAAGAACAAAATTGCTAGCATCTTCTCTCCAAAGGGAGATCTTTCAAGGCTCAATGAAAATGAACTATGACAAACTGATCTCAGTGAACCACTGTGGAAGAAAAAATGTACTTTTTACATCTAGTGAAAGTTCAAATACCGATATTAAGTAGTATATTGTACATTATGCTCCTCACTATTAATTTTGGTATTCACACTACAAAACAATTGGGAAAAAGAATATATGCATGAAATACAAGATGAAATAACCGTGAATGGTCCAAACTACAGTTAAAAAGTAATTATTTTCTTTTCCATAAGACTTCCATACATGAGTGTGGCAATATATACGGACATTGTGTTTTTCTCTTTGAATACTTTCAATTAACACGTTGCTAAAGTTGTTCCATGTGGTAGGAATCTGCAGAAGCAGGCAAAGGAACAGTTATGATCCCAAGAATAACAGATGATACCAGCCACTTTCCAAGACTCTTCCAGTTTCTTCTTTAGTGGCTGAAAGTGCTCCTGCATAGCAGACAAGGAGCAAATCAGAATTTCTTTACTATTCAATAAGCATTAGTTTTAATGGTAAACTATTTTAATAAAGAATCATTTTGGTATTCTGGTGCACTTTTGCTAAAAAGACTAACTAACTCAATTTTTGATACATCTTAAATCCAAACTAGTATTTGTCTCCTAGTTATCGTTTCTTTAAGATGCCTTCACACAGAAGTCTTCCTCATGTTTTTATATATTATTGCCAATTTTCTCCATATTAAGCTTCTACTAAACTACTTGCAATAAAACATGACCAGAAAAAAATTACACATTAATGGTGAAAATTGTGTAATTACAAGCCTGACAATGTTTTCCAGATCATTTTGCCTTAACCTGACGTTTAATTTTGTTCAGTTCCCTGTTACCTGTTGCAAAGGGATATTCTAACAGAAATGCCTAAAAGGCAGAAATTCCCAAATTGGAAAAAAATATCCCAAATTGGAAATCTCATTATGCAGAAGGCTTATGGCATGCATTCTTTTCTCTCCCTTTTCTCTCCCAGATACAGGAAGGAGTGCAAGTCCTATACACTGTGGCAGCTACACTGCTAATAGAAGCCAAGCCAGCTAATTTAAACTAACAGAACATATTTCTATGAGCTGTGGTCACTACAGTGCAGACAGTTAAATGTATTGGTAATGCCCATAGGAGAAGAACCTTTCCTTTCCTTTTGAAAAAAAAACGTGAATTATAATTGTATTGTTCTTTTGGATGTATTTTTGAAAGTATCTGGGATCACTGGGATATGAAACATTTGTCCACCCGCTTTCTTCCTACTGTCATTTTGAAATTACCTTGGAATAAAAAATACAATTGTAAAAATTAAAAGAGAAAAATTAGAATTCCTGGCTTGCTATTGTGTCTTTGTTTCTCTATGAAGCACTGAAATCCCCTACTGTGGTTTTACTGCTGTTTTCTTTTTTGCAACAGTGCTTGCAAATATTTCATACATACCTGAAAGACAGAAAATGGAACCTCTATTTGCTATTTTCAGATCATTAAGGAAAACTAAAATAAAGCAAATAAAGGTAATAAAGGTTGATCCTCAAATGGGAAAAAACATCCTGGAACACTTGGTAGGAAATCTGTTGGTATTATCTTTAGGATATGATGGTCAGACAGCTTTAGATGGAAGGTTAATGAATCAGTTAAAGACAATTGTGTACCCATTAATTTTGGGATCCATTTAATTTGAATTATCTTCTCATTTAATACATATAGAACATAAGGTTAGAATCTAGCCTGATTTTCCACACGGGATAAATCATTAAATGTCATCCCTGACTTCTGTAAGGAATCCCATATAACTTGTGTTTTATAAGACATCTCTTCCACAATTGGTTTTGATTTGACAGGATTGAAACTCAGAGAATAACAGCTCTTTCGGGGAGGGAACTTCTTTGTATGATTAACGGTTCACTGTTAAAACAACTCACAAAACGAATCCAAACACACAAAAAAATCTTCAATATGATGATTTCCTTATTAGAATTTTCTGGTTTGAGCTTCTTATCACCAGCTATTGTTGCACATCTCTTCAGCAGACTAACAGAACCCTTGGTACATTATATGGTTATTTCTCAAAGTAAATATAGTGAATACACTACAAACCAAGTTACTTCCCAATATTCTTTATGATAAACTAAACAGACTGGGTTGTATAACCCTCACAGAAAGCATCTCTTCTAGCCATCATATTTTTTGAGCTTTTTCTATATCCAGTGTGATATTTGAAATGTTTAAAAAAGTGAATGTCAGAAAAAAATGCAGCTTTCCAATTTAGACACATCAATTCTGTATACAGACAAAAAAATATCCCCCTATTTCTTTTCCTTTTTTAATTCAATATCTTCATACTTGTCTATGTCTGGAAATGTAGACAGAAACAAGTTGAGAGACATACTCTCTTTTCATCCTGCATCTCAGTTGGATACACGGACAAGGAGACGTTCAAAACTGTCATTTATAGAACCAGAATATCGATTTATAAAGCTCTCTTTATTTATCAAAACTAGTATTCTTTAGGAATGCTTTTTCTTTGTATGTATAAATTTCCACCTTTTTTTTTTTTGGGGTGTGTGTGTGTGTGTGTGTGCGTACCTTGTGTTATTTGAGTAAATAGAGCCGAAATGGGATCTGGCTTTCTTCCCTCCCACATTTCTCACTACAGCTGTCCTCGCAGCTCCCAGGTGTTTCCATGCAGTGACTGCAGTTGATGGTAGCACAACCAGACTCTTCAGTGGTGCTGGTGTATTACCAAGATTTCCTGAGGAACTCCCAGAAGAAAAGAGAAAGTGTACTTTTCAGCACTTCACAAGTCAGCTAAATCAGCTTGGAATTTCCCAGGACACAGGTACGTCTATAAGCCGACAGTGTGCTGCATACTGCAAATAATCAGGATACTGCTGCTTCTCAAAGACACTGGTAATGGTTGTTTAGTGAAAAGTGTTCTGCAATTCAGTATAGCAGTTCTGTTTTTATAATGTCTTCCAAATCTGAGATTTAAAACCTAACTATAGAATTAGTGGTTAAATGAATAGAGCACACAGATGTATTTGGATTTTTTGGAACACCCAATAGAGTGTTTCAAATTCTTAAATGATTATATTGAAAAATTAAATCAGGCTGAATAAAGACCTAATCATATAAGCTAGGAACTGTCTGGAGATCTAATAAAAAAAAAGGAACGATACCTTACAGAGTTGCTGATAAAATTCTAATAGCAGAACTCAGAAGTCTGTCACACAGTAGTCTATTCCATTGAAGTATATTTGTTGCCTAGTTGCATCTGGCAAGGTTTCATAATTCAGACCCTTTAGGAGCAAGCTAGGCTGAAAACATAATCTCCTAAGAAATATGGAGAACGATCGGTCTGATGGCAAGTTACAGGATCACTCATCACACATGCACAGCACACTTCGTTATACAATAGCTCTAACAAAGGAATCAGACTTAACAGGGAGTGAAATTTCCATTCAGAGGCATGGAAAACTGCAGTGTTAACACAGACTACAAAAATACATGCTGAAAAAGGTTTTAAAATTGGAGATCGTACTGAATATTAGGGGTGAGAAACTGAAAGAGCAGCCTGGATAATTAGAGGTTGTATGATTTCGGAGTACTTCCACCATAAAATGACTGATGTCACATATGAGATGAAGACTTCATTCCTCCTTATTATGGAGCCATCCTGAAGTGACAGACAGGTTGTAGAAAGAGTTTCTTGTGGCCAGTGACAACACTGAGATATAATTGGCATGGCACTAAGAAGAGCTGAATACTATTGAAAAAGAATGGAAGTGCTCCCATATCCACAAGGAACTCTACCAGAAATCTCGTTGGTCTGGAAAAACACTACTTGAAGCAGGGAAGATAAAAATATCTACATGTCCTTCCTAGTTTAAGTTATCAAATATTAATTGGGAGTTTTAATTTGAAATGTCGCAATGGATTTAAGTTAATCTGAGGGGAACACATAAGTTGCTGTGAGAATATGGCTATGACTTCACAAATCCTGCTCTGTCACAAGCACCTTGTTTCATTAACTAAGTTGAAGGGTAAGCAAACAAAAAAAACATGGAAATTGCAAACAGTATAGATTAGGAAGTTTGTAAACACTACTTGGGACAAAGAAATACAAAGAAATAGACATTAAAACAGTCTGTAGAAATTAAATGGAATTTTAAAATGTGTAATTTGGAAAATCAATTAAAATATTTAAAGAAAATTTCACACCACATTCAAAGGAGAAACTCAGGAACCAGCAATAGTGAAAGATACCTTAGGGAATTAGGAAAAGTCAGGCAAAAGAAAAATTGCAATTGGTATTGATTATAAAAATGCTGTTGTGATTTTGAATTGAGTATATAAAAACTTTGCAACACTGCAGAATATAGACTTTTTTCTCTCTAGACACGACTTTTGTGTGACTAGGCTTGGAATGTTTTCTTCATTGTGAGCAGGCTTTTTATCTGAGAAAATGCTGACAAGTTGGAGGGGGTTCCAGAGGACATTTTTAATGGACTTACGAACTTTGATGAAAGAATAAACAGGTGTGCACATATCGTGAGATCAAATGAAAATGATTAAGTGTCCAAATATATTTAAAAGCAGCCTATAAATATTGAGGAATATAATCAGCAAAAGCTAAAAGACACATTCATCATTTTTCCAGAGCAGAGGAAAAGAAGGAAGACTATGAGAAAACATCTGCCTGGGTTTGCATAATGGCAGAGCTCTTCTATGCCTCTTCTCCTGGAGTCTCGTCTCAAAATTTCAGGGCTGACAATTATCTGCAGCGTGGTTGAAGTATTTGTGAATTCACATAGCAACAGCTCAAGGATTTCTAGCATCAGTCTAGGCACAATAGGCTGATCCTTTTTTCTATTATCTAAGTACATAAAATTAGTTTTGTATGGAGCCACACAAGAGATGTAGGATAAGAAAACAGCCAGAAGACTCTGTTAAGAGGTAGGAAAATTAATTTTTTGGATGTATAATTTTGCAAAAGAATAAATATAAAAGTCAAGAAGATGGAAGATAAAAGACTTCACAGAGTGCCTGTATACATGAGATTTTTCCTTTCCTCCTTGTATTGACTGACAAGCAATAGAGAAAATGTGATTGATACAAACTTATTGCATTATTTAAATATGTTTTTAAAAGTTAATGTATATTTTCATTAACATCCTGTAAAAACGGTAACTATCTAGCGATCCAGTGTGGTAGTTCCAAGGGGAAAATATCTGCATCTGGAAATAAAAAATAAAACTTTCCCAAATAACTTAACTTGGGCAATATGTAATGGCTTAATCTCTATCCAGTGATGAGCAGACTGTATGAACATTTCCAGTGTGGACTCAAAAAACCCTCAAATTACAGGCAACATAAAGATGGTCAAAACCATGGTTATATCAACAAAATCTAGCATCTACTTTGGCTTTGGTCCAAATGAGAACTATCATGAACTGCCATAGTAGATGAAGAATTACAGCATTCATTTTTAACTTTTATAACAGTTTCCTTCAAATTCAGCCATCCACTGGCTGATTTTTTTTAATCTATTCACATTCATTTCATCACTCAAAGTCACATAGGCAAAAAGGTGAAGGATATTCACTCTGCTTAATTCAACTGACCCCCACTTCTCAAAACGTGAATCATACGACACCTAACTTAAAAGCTTCTCCCCATCTACTCGCTAGTCCTATGCAATAAATTCAGGGATCAGAGATAGCTAATCAAAGTCAGATAGCCTTCAAGCAATCTATTTTGTTATTTAAAAAATAAATCACACATCATTGAAACTACTGCAATAATCTAGTATGATTCAGTTATAGTATTCAAAATGCAAAGTGAGTGGGGAAACCGAGTAATTTTTTTTTAAACTTTTTTAAAGAATTACAAATTTCTGAAAAAAATATTTATAAATAAATGCATTATACTACCACTTAATTTCAATTTAATCAATAGTAAAAAAAAAAAAATTAACCTTAACTATTTGGGCTGTAAATACTTTCAGGAATCAACTTTATATTGTACAGAACAATAGTGACTAAATATCTCTTCTCAAGAAAAAGCAGAAAACTGTCTTCTAATTGAAACTACAAGAACATTAAGGACTGAATCATTCCAGCTGAAATACGACCTGATGCACTACTGTCCCTACTCTCAGGAAGAACACTCAAATGTCTTCCAAAATTAGATTCAATTAATACTAGCTTTAAAATCGTGTTTTAAAGATGACATTTCAATAGCACAATGTCACGACCAAATCATTTAATTACCAGTGCAGTAATGACAGGAGACCATGCTGTATGAACACCATACAAGTAAAATATTAAAAACAACTTCCTCCAACAACGCATTCCTACAACAAGTTTTCCTGAAGGTTTGTTGTTGAACATTTTATGTTGACATAGTAATTTTTTCCATTTTGAGTTTTCTCTCTCCTTGACCCAAAACACATACAATATTTTACTTATGACACATATCGGCAAACTTCTTTTCTTCCCTTCTGACGTTTGCTTCAATGATCTACTAAACCCTATATGGAATTGAAGAACAAACCTTATCATTGCCAGTTTGTAACAAAAACTGGGATTCAGTCTCTTCACCATGATTTTAGTCTTGTAAATTAAATGCAAATTAAATGAGTGAAAATTGAGTTAAATAATGTCCTATATAAATTTATAAATTCTTTTTAATTAAAGTAATAATTGGACAGGTAAAACGTTCTGTTGGTTATAACCAACTGAAGACTTACATACTGATTATGTTTATAAAGGATGCATTTGTCCTTCTATGATTTTTTAAAATGATTTTTGTACCAACGTGTTTTTATTATTTGGCTAAAGAGACTTCAACAACAGTTAATTTTTAAAATGGGTCACTGTAACATCAAAACTAATCAAACAAATCATTACCACCTATATTAAATAATTAGTTCGAGTAACAGCAATGAATCAACATAAGGAAAGCACGAGGTATTTATGTGCCAAGTTCTCATTTGTTAATTCCTGGGCCCAAATGCTGCTTGAGAATCTATAGCTAATTTTTGGCACTGGCTGAAATATTTCTTCTGGCACTACTGCCTAGGTTTGACTTTGCATTAAGTTAATAAATCAGAAAAACAGAAACAGAAATTCTGCCTTCCTTTTGCACAGTGCTGGAATACAGCCTTCTAAATTATTATGTTACTTTGCAAGTAAGAGACCAATTAAACTAATGCATTTTTCACTTTTGTGTTGCTTTTGCAAAATGAATCACCTGTAAATTCATCTTCACTAGCTAGTACTCTACAGTTACCTTATATTGTTCCCATTCTCTGAGAGATAGACCCTTAAGTTTTATGTATACAATCTAAAATGATCAAAAATAATGTACAAGAGCATTTATTTACATTTTTTAGTTCAGTTATACAAATGTTATACAGCAGATTAAAAACATTTTAAAATTCCTAATGAAAACAATAAAAAATACAGTCATGGTCGACAGAACACATTGGTAGGTAAAAATGATTGTAGGTATGTTATAATTAAATCAACTCTTAAAGCATAAGTAATTGAAAACTCACATGAACACTAAAATGAAATCTAAATATGTTAAGTTATGGAAATAAACACGTCAGGCACTCAGTCTTAATTCTGTCCTCTACTGAATATTAGCAAACAAAAACAGTTATGTGATTTTAAAAGTTCAAATTAACCTAATTTGGAACTAAAAATATCAAGTAATCCAATAACAATCATCATTTCATATTACAACTCATGGCCCTGAGGCTAAGTTATTTGGCTAAGTTTCCTTTGCGCTTTTTTTTTCCCCCCTTACCTTAGCTCCTGGTAAGTGGTTTGTAACTGAATTTACGGTGCAACGTTTACTGGTGCAGGTAACCTCCATCTCTGCCTGTTTAGCTTTTTTGATAGTGCAGTGTCAAGTGAAGCACCAGCAGCTTTGCACAAATTTTTTCTCCCCTACAATCTACTTCCCCTGTTCTAACCTATAAAGCAGTAGTTGTCAATGTAGTACCCTGCAAGGGAGAATTAAGAGAACTCTTTCATCCCACTTTACTTGTGCAGAACACAACAAAAGAGACATGCATGTTTTTGCTTAGCAGTGCTGTTCTGCAGTGCAAAAGGAAATTATACCAAAATGCTGTTAGAACTTTGCTGTTTCCACTGGGACAGGAAATCCATTTTGCTATGTCACATTTTAGTCTGAAAATTGTTTCTGGTCAGAACCCAAAGTCAGAGTAATTCTCTTGTGCTGTATTCCCTATTGCTTTTTCTGCTTCCAAGTGGTTTATCACCTGACCTGTTCTGAGATACTCCAAAGTACAGTTACAGAGGAAATATCAAAAAGAGTAACACCCCAACCGAAGATTCATACATTTCTACACCGAAGGGCATGTTTTTCTTATTCCAGGAGTATCTCACCTCTGGAGTCACATCTCGTGGTGCAAACCCTGTTCCTCCCGTTGTTAAAATCAAATTAAGTTCCTTTTCGTCACACCAATCTATCAGCGTCTCCTGAAAGAGAACATGAATGCTGTCAGATCTAACAAGTAATACATGGGACATGGTTGTCTCAGAAAACACCTGAAGAATTGACATGACTTGAAAATAAACAGATATAATAATAAATCAAGGGAATTCTGTAATCACTCATGGCATTTTTCACAAAGACTCTAAACCACTATTTATAACCAACTTACAGCAGAATAATACAAGTCATAGTATTTTTGGAAATGGAAACTGAAATTCTGTTCTCCATCTCTTGTTCTAAAATGGAGATCAAGAATTCATAGCTGTTCATTTATATCACTGTTTATTTTGATTCTAAGATATAAATATAATGCTTCAATACATGTTAATAAAGTATACACATTTAATTCAGGTAATATGTTTGATAATTCTTACAGTAACTCTGGTTTCTGTGCTTGTTCTACTTTTCAACAGTCTGAAAAAAGCAAGAATCACATATTTGTAAGCTTGTCTAATAAAAGATGTAATAACACACCAGATACAGCAATCCATAAGTTGCCCCTTACAGTATAATCATATTTTATTTATTTCCTAGATCTGAATAGGACTGTATTTTCTGATGCCAAAACTGGATTAAGAAAGCTTAAGAGATTTGTCATGTACATTCAATGACTTACAGTACTCTAGAACTCATGATACTAGAGATATGTTAAATTTGATTTGCATTCAGTTTTTTTAGATGACATTCTAAACTAGTTTTTAGATTGTGACAAAAATTCAATGTCAGCAGAAGATATATTTAGTCACAGTGTGATTATATCACTTATCCTTCACTCTACTGTGGGCAAGCACAGCAGCCTAATGTTCATTTGGATCTCCAAATTCAGCAATGGGTTACACAATGTATAACCATGTATTGCACAGTAAAGTAACTATCTGCAGAAAACATACCAATTGCTTACTAATTCCATCAAAGAAAACACCTCTGAAAAAAGGTTAGGGCACATTTATGTTTCTGGATTATTATATTGAGGTGGAAAGAAATGTTTTGGTGACTGTGGACTAGAAGCTTATTATTTGACTCTTAAAAGTAGATCCAAGCAATTTACTGAGTAAAAAAACTGAAAATATTGCTGATGGTCATAAAACTGTCCATAATACTTTAAAAAGTGTTACTGATGTAGATTAATGCTCAGGGATATGTTCCGCAGGCTTAGAACTGCTAGGTAATTTCCAGTTAAGAGAAATCATATACAGTCATATAAATCACATACAGTATATGAGATGTCCAGTTAGGACACCACATATACATGTACATCTCATATACAGTCTCTTCCAAATTGCAGGTAGAATAGACTTGTGCCTGCCTGCAAGACCCATCATGTAAAAATCCAAGGATTACTTAAAGTGGCAAAACGAAAGGTTCTATCTTTACTTCTCCTTCCTTTACTCATTCCTTCCACCTTCCCTCTTGCGTTATCTCATCCTTATTAAAATCACTTATGTCTTTTTACTACCCTCTTTTGGAGTATGGCACTATTCCCAGGAACACTGTAACTGACCGCAAATTTCAGGATACATGAACATTTTAAATAAGCCTGAGAAATGAACATGCAAAATGTCTCATACCAACACATAAATGAAGTATTAAGTCTGACTTTTATTTTGACTTACATAAAAATAAGTAAATTGCAGTAGTAAAATGCATTTTTAATCTTAAAATCGTTTGTTTCAATAATACAGATATGCATCAGAAAAGTTTCTTTTTAAACAGGTGACATCTCCTCTGAGCTATTATATCATCTACAGACATATTTATCTTGGCTTCCAACAGCAACAAATTTCAGAAAGCATTTGAGAGAGGTTTAGTGTAGAAATGTTGTCTGGCAAAGTGAGAGCATGACATTGTATATATATTTTTAAATTACCATTATCAAGAAAAAATTGTCAGCATAAAAGGAGATATATATATATATATATATATATATTTTATGAAGCATTTATCTTTAGATAAAATAAAACCTGCCAAACTCCAAGTGGTTTTAAAGAGAAAATAAATCCTTCATCTGTTCTGATTTTGCTACATCTCACTAATACTCTAGTTAAAAGGGAAAAAAGAAACGTCACATGATAGCATACAAGAAGCTAAAGGGATTATTACACACCTTAACTCTTCACAGAAATTGAGCATATAATTGATATTATTATAATACATACATGTATTTTTTTATCAAATTCTAGTTATAGTGAAGAAACATAAACTTTCAGTAAACAGACCTTTGATTATGAAGCAAAAAGTTTGGGTTTCATTGCATTTTAGAATGTGTACCTCCTTGGTCTTTTAAAAATATCTGAGACTAATTTGGTTTACTTTCTCTCTAGCCCACAAAACTCTATCCCAAAAAAGCATTCTCATTTACATTTTAGCTATCTAAAAAAAGGAAACATCACCCTGACCAACTGGGGAAGAAAGGCCACTAACTTTCACTTTGCAGCTGCTAGCAGTTGAGCAGTATTTGCTGTTGGCTTTGAACAGACCGGAATTTGCTGTCTCTTCAAATGAGAATTCCTCCAGACAAGGAACCTGATACTTGTCTTGACAGATGCTATACAAATAAAATGATTATATAACATTTCAACAACAGAAAATTTCATTAAATAATCTTTGTGCAACTACCTCTTCTTTTATTGTTTCATCGATGATAAACTTTCAAGACAAAATGAGATTGGGTCAACAGGTTATGTAAATCATTGTCATTCCATTCAAGTCAATGGCATTATGATGATGGATACAAAATACAGCATCTGGCTCTGAAAACAGTACTATAAAATTACTAATAAATTAAAACAAGACAGAACAAAACTACAGACCTAAAAACACAATCAACCAACCAAACAAAAAAGTATTTTAATATTCTAAATTATGCTTTATCAATTATTTCCTCCTGACAAGGCAGACAGGAAGAAAATTAAGTCATTACAATTTGCTCTTCTAGACACTTTTAACTTCAAAAATACACTTCTGTATTTCTAACCTGTTCAGATTTCATCAAAGTCCTAGAATCATTACATAATTAAATTTTCCTCCTGCAAAGAAATGGAATTTCAGCCCATTTGTTCCTAAAGCTTTGAATTAGATCTGGCGCCCTGTTCTATCTACCTATTTGATTTTCATTTAAATAAACAAGAAACCCTTAGGCCTAACAGACAATGTATTTCCATCCCTTGCTCCAAAGAGCTCTTGTTTAAATCATGCGTTCCCTCTCCCAGCCTGGAACTACTCACTGGACTTATGTGTTGCCCAAACTTGGAACGGTGGAATTGTTTCAGTTGTAACACTGCTCATCAAACTTTGCTTGTTGCCCATGGCACCACACATAAGCTAATATTACCTGTCATTTCAGACAACAAATGGCTTTACCACTTCCAGACATTTATCTTTCAGTGGAGATAACTTCAGTATCTCACTGTCCAAGATGGCACAGTGGTAATGGTTAGCAAAGTGAATTATTTTTTTTCCTCCATAAATCCATTCATGCACCACCCTCTAATCTCTGCAGGTAAGTGAACAGAACAAACAAATAGGGATTACAGAGGCCCTATGGGAAAATTCTGTATATCTCTAGCATAGAACTGAAAACCACCAGATTTGTAAAATTATGTAACAAATATTTACAAATAAACCCTGTTTATTCCTGAAGAGTATGTTTCAAAATGCAAGCAGACTAGGATCTCATAACAACCTTTACTTGGTCATGTGGCTTCATCTACTCCGGACTCCAACTCACGAAAGGTTAACCCTGATATTATGTCATAAGAGAGTATACCCCATTAATCATAAATTCACATTATAAGACACAAATACAAAGCAGAAGAATAAAGAAAAGGTAAAAGTTGGGTTAAAAGAACATCAATATCTTTTGTTAAGGCATTGCAATCTTCTCTATTCAGCTGACCACGGCTTCTTCACTGATTTGTAAGGGAAAATTCAAGTACCAAGGACATAGACCATAAATATCCATAAAGCAAGGGAACTGCAGGAAAGATAAAGAGCTGAGTTCAACAACCAGTTTGAAATAGAGGGAAGGCCTTAGAAATATTCACATATTCTTGGAATAAATGTTGTACTTTCTGCCTTATTTCTTGTGAAGGTTCTATTTCTTATGCTCACAACTTTCCTCTTACTGCTTGAAAGCTTCATTAAAACACAGAGGCATGAAGATACCCCTGCATGTGGAGCAACAACTTTGCAAATAATCAGTCTCAAAATGATTTAAGAATGTCAGAAAATGAAATACTAAAATACCAGGAAAATACACTACACATTTTCTGGTACCTCCACCTCTTCTTTCTTTCCCCCACTAATAACAGGCATGAAGTAACAGAAATGTTAGGACTGTGTTCCCAGTGTAATTACTGTAGTCAGAGACTTGGATGAAAACCAAGTACATACCTCAATGTCTGTAAATATGGCTTTTTGTCTTTTGAGATTTTGCTGAACACAGTAGCCTTTTGAAAATTCTTCAAATATATTTGCACTTTTCAGCATCACAGTTACTTTACATTGTTGTTTTTCTAAATGCTGCTTTCCAAATAGTAAGCTAATGTTAAATAGAAAGTCATAAAAATGTAACTATTCTACTGAAATGCAAAACTAAAAGAAGAAAGTCATAAAAGTGTACTCTATAAATGGTTTACTTTCTTAAATGGAAATTTAATTATAGGCACTTTCCATCTGAAATAAATTGCACCTATCAAAAATTCAAGGTTCAACATATCTATGCAGCCTGTAATGTAACCTTTTTTAAAAAAGTACTTCATGTCTTCTAAAAGCTACTATTCGTGATAATTATTCCTAAAATAGGGGGGAAAAAAGTTGGCATCAAAGTGCAATGCTCAGCAGAGTTCACCTAAGCAAGTGGGTAGGGAAAGTAAAGCAAAGAGACGTGCAAGCACTTAAGTGTTTGCCCTCTAATGACCAGTACTGCATGAAAAAATAAATCTATTTCACTGGAGAAAGGTAAAGACACTACAGGCCGCAGGCAAGGTTGACTCCAGAAGAAGGCACTTAAAACTGCACTTTTATTTTGTACTTTGCTCTCAGAAAGAAGAGATACTTAATTTAAACTAACTACAGTGAGACATTAGTCATACTACAAACAAGAAAAATTGTGCTTTTATTTCATGGTTTATCAGATTGAATTACAATCTAGAAGGCAGTCTAGATCATATGCAAGGCATCAATCTACATATGTGGCAAAGCACAAGAATTACTTGCTTCCTTCTGTAAGAAAATCTGTTCCTGTCTACTGTTGATACCACTAGTATCCTCCTAGAGTGGATGATGAGTTCTTGAAATGACAGCTTCTCACTGGAAAAGATCTGTCAACTCCAGCATTCCTCAGATGCCTTGAGGAGGGGATGGAACTTACAGCTGTCAGAAGAGTCCAAATTAGGTATTTTCCAAACATATCTCTACCTTGAAGCAACTTTCCTGTCCACTCTGAATTTGGCAGATATATACAGGTATGTGGGCATATATGCACATATTTATCTTTATATAATAAAAATATATTAACAAAAGCACCAAAATTAAATGTGTCTTATTTCTGTCATATATAAAAGACCTCTCACTAAAATATGTTTATTTTCTAAGGTAAGTATTACTGTAGTTATAAAAACTCAAGTGCCTTTCTTAAGAATCTATTTGAAACCACTTAAAAATTAAATAAAAGAGAAGCACAATGCCTCCTCGCTAGTATTACTTTTCCTTCCTCTGGTCATTCCTGTAACAATAAAACTAAAATAGCAATTGGAATAAAAAGAAAAGGGAAGAAAGCATAAAACAACTAAAGTAATCCAAAACTGCTCACTAATATTAGTCAATCAGAAATTTTATCTTTTCGAAATCTATTAAAGCAGCACTTCAAAGACCTGTTATCACAAGATATAAATGGTTGGCTTTGGAGCCATAAACCTCAGGTTAATTGTGCAGAACAATGTGTTTTTTCCATACTTTCTTCCCATTTGCATATATTCATGTTCATCTAAGATTAAGACTGTTTACTTTTGATTTGGTTCCCAGTATTCAAAAAGGGAGTTTGACATTAAACAAGTAAGTAATGTCCTATAACTTGAGTTCTTTACAATATTTTCCCTACATGTATCCATATACATAGTTTGTAAACTTCACCAATGTTTGCTGGTTGTAACCAAGCCCCAGTAACCTACATCTTAATCTTACTACAGACACAGAAATGGTAAAGCTGCAGAAAACCAACTAAGTTTCTTTGAGCTGTCAAGAAAAGGAATCACGCTAAGGAATCAGTAAAAACGTGAGGGTCAGACAGACAAAGGCAATCTGTCTTAGAGAACTCCAAATGTAAAGATGTGAGAATCATATTCCCATAATAGCCCTTCACTCAGATAGCTTCGCTTCATTTCATAGAAAATTGTACTTGAAAAAAGCACTCACAGAAATTGCATGTGCATATTTGCACACAGAGAGAATCTACATCAATGATTTAAACCAGGTTATACCCTGTATTGATTTGTGCTGTTTAATAGGCAGTAAGTGCAGGGGATTAAAAAACCTCCGCAAAGGTTCTGTGATTAACACAAGGAACCCAGCTGTGGAAAAAAAGAAACATTTAAACTGGAAGGTTTGTTTTTGTGCAACTATTAAGTTTTAAACAATGAATTAATTGCAAAAATATCTTACGGAATCTTATGGAACACAGTTTAGTTTCTAGCTTCATTTTCTAACAGTAAATACAATCTTCTGTGTTACTTCATACACCTAGATACAATTGTTCAAGATTTTGTTTACCTTTTGCTTTTACAATAATATTCTGAGTTATGCATTTCTCTTTTTTATTGTAGCCCTCAATGGAAATGGCAAATTGAACAGAGTGATAATATTCAGCTACCTAAAATATTTGGATCTGAGCACAAAGACGAGAGAGGAGAACTTCACAGAGACAGGGAAATACTTCAGTGTAATGCAGTGTCTGGTGTAACTTTCCCCCGTGTGTGTTGTTCATGCATATCATCCACAGAGCCAATGAATGAAATTGTTTTTTAAAAATATCTATCGTTTACCTGTGAAAATACAGTAAAGAAAATTTACCTACCAATAGCTGCTGTACTTTGAGATATTTAGTCCATACATATATTCTAAGAGTGGGTGAGCTTGTGGCCTGCCTTGGAGTGTCCTGGGAGGTGCGTTCTAGCTCCTCCCCTCGTCCTGCTTGATGCATGAAAGTTAGGGCAGAGTGCATCCGCCACCACTTCAGTTCCTCTTAAATGCACAATCAAACCTGAAAGAGATTCAGAAAGAGGGGAAAGGCAGGTAGGAGACTAATGTACATGCAGACTGTATCTCTCAAAGAACGCCAGTTACTGACCAGTAACCTTTCTTCTTTGAGTCTGCATGTACATTCCCAGCAATGACGCCCTCTGAACAGTTCCCTTTGCCTTTTACCACCCAGGAGAAGGTCTGAGGACTCCCACAGACAATGGCAGCAGCACCCTGCTGAAGGCTGGGACAGCCCTGCGTGCTATTACACTAACATGCTGCTGGGGGGAAGCAAAGACAGAACTCCAGGTGGCCTCATGGCAAACGTCCAAAAACCATGCAATACAAACACTGAGTTTGCCCAGGGATCCAGTGGACTTTGTTTTGGCCATGGAGGGAACTCCAAGTCACAAGTCCACACATAATCAGAAAACCATTTGAACAACTGCTGTGTGATGTCAGTTGAACTTTTGGATATTCCCACAGTGCAACAAGTAAACAAAGACTTAGACCTGTGAAGAGAGACAATAGAGGGCCCTTATGAAATCAAGAAAGTGAAGTATAAAATTCAATCAAAGAAGCATAAGACCTAGGAATGAGTACTTGAAGACTCACTGCCTGGCTACGCTGGTACCACTTCAAGAAGGAATTTTGGATGACTGAAGAAAATTACTCCACTGTTATAAAGGTACAGAGTATGTAAAATGGCAGCCAGGATCTATAAGATCATAAGAAGACTTCAGCAGCAGCCGAGGCAACAGTCACCAGATGTGCATTTCATAGATGCAGGCAGAATAAATAAAAATTTAGGAGCTTAATATGAGAGAAGGAATGACTATAATGCAGTGGTTTTCCAATGCCATTGAATCATAAACTTTTTAATGTGTTCTGATCAGCTCTTTTAGTTAACTCTGAGTTGTGAGGTGTGAAAATGTACTCAATCACCAAGAGCCATCCAGTAGCCTCACCACATAACAAAAAGACATCTGTGTTCATCTTTTTGAAGTAATGTGAAATAAAAAAATATTTGTAGAGAACCCTAAATGTTGTGTGTGATTTGATGGAGAAAGGATTCTTGTACAAGTCAGGTCACCATGTGTGAGTATACTAAGATATTTTTCTCAAAAATAATTACTACCACAGATGAATAAGGAATAAATTACAGGGTACCATTTTTAGATGGTAAATGATTTTCCGGGTCTAACAATCAATGCTAGATTTAGCCTCCAGAAAACAACAAAACATCTGTAAGAAGACCCTGCTTCCAAAACTAAGCAGAGTTCTTTATCTCTCCAGATATGAGGAAGGTAAGGACATGCTGCTCTGATACATTCTTGTGATAGGGATATGTGAACAAGGAATAGAGAGAAGTATATGAGAGAGGAAAGAAGACTGGAGTAATTCTGGAACTGATCAGATTGTCTGCACTTCTCCATTATCTGTTGACTAGGAGTAATCGTAGGAATAATGCAAATGATTCTCAAAAGGGACAGGGAAAGGATAAAAATCAATTGAGATTCATTGACTGTTCTTAATGCAAACAACAGGCTGACTGCTGGTGAAGGCAATGAAAAATAAATACCTGTGATTATTACAGAAAAAGTCTTTTCCTACAAGTCCATGCTTTTTTCTTACAGAGATAGAGAATAATAGAAGATTAACAGAACGCACTAGTAATAGTAATAGGCAGCCTTGATGATTAGGATATTGTTTATTCCTGAACTCTAGAGTACTAGCATCCAAAGACTAAAATGTAGTGAGAGAACCTTTGGGCATCTTAAAGAAAATTTCTTTCTGAACAAAAAGGCCACTCTCTCAAAGGGAGACCTTTTCAGGATTCAGTGTATGCAGAACCTCTCTTATAAGCCCAAAAGATTACAGCTATTACAAATGATACTGGGTGAAAGCTGTTACCATAGAATTTGATGAGCCACCTTCTACTTCCACTGCAGCTTGCAGAGGTGTCTTAGCATTAGCTGATCCCACTACAATCAAAGGTTTCAACTGATTATTATACTCAAGGGAAAATTGATGCAGAACAACTCACCTAAGAATGGCTTTTTTGTTTTCTTCCTTAAGAGCTGAAACTTTCTGGCCATTTCTCTTTTGGATCTTTTTTTAAAAGATGTTCATTTTTTCATGATACATATTAACAACAAAATTACTTGGAGTCAGGTGGTAATAAAAGCATTAAAAACCCTACAGAGATTCCAAAATCATCCTCCAACTGTTTCTGCAGCTGGTATAAATGAAGCTAAAATCTGCCAGGATACTAAGGTTGTTCAAACATGTCTTTATGGGTATTGGAAATCTCTCAGGCAAAATAATATGCAGAATGTCAAACAACCTAGAGCATCTTTGCAGAATTATTTGTACTGGGATCTCCATTGTTTCTAAGGTCCTAATTTCTTGGGGAAAAAAAAAAAAACTGCGCTATACAGAATGATAAGCCAACACTTTGTCAGATAACAAGGATTATACATATATACATATAAACATATAAAATATGCCTCCACCTCAGCCAGCTCACAAGGATAACTTTGTAAGAAGTCTGTGTCGTCTGGAAAAGTTGCTGCAAATGGAGCAAACAGAAGCTTCATAAAGCAATTGCTTCATGGAAGCAATCTAACTCAATCTAAACTCACAATGTTAACAAGGCCACAGAGGCTAACTAGGACATGAACAAAGTTCAAGTCAAAACATGAAAAGAAGTGGAAAGGATGATTCCAAGCTGAATCACTTGCCATTTCTCTTTTTCTCTTAGAGAAATTCCAAACTTCACTTGCTAAAATTTAAGAATCATAGAAGAAATACTAATCATTACAATCAGAATGAGACAAATATGGACTGCCTTCTGCTACAGGAAGAACAATCTTTACAAATGCTTGCACTGATCATAGAGTCTCTTGACTCTTGCAGAGAAATTCTTGGTATATTCAGAAATGCTTTGCAGTCCCTGAATTTCAAACATGCTGGTTCTATCCATAAATATTGGTTCTGTGACTGAGTTTTGAAACAAAGACTATTAATATCAGGATGAGAAACTCTTGCACTGAGAATGTCATCTGTACAGGTACATTTAACACTTATTCTTGAATGAATTACTGCTTAATTAATTAAGTGCTCTGGCCCTAAATGTATTTGTACCATATGCTCCTGTTGCAAAAGCAAGAACCGTGCCAGAAGCAAAACCTGCAGCACTGAGGAGTAGCAGTAGAGAAGTGAAGGCCTTACAGGGTGCGCTTCAAGAGCAATCGATGATTTATGCAGTCTAACCACTTAGCACAAGACAAACCAAACTTTAAATTGGCTTAAATGTTCTTTCTTATGTTTAAATTCTAAACCTCAAATGACTTGTATTGTGCTAATCTTAACAGATATTTCTAAGTAATTTTTTTGAGCTAAGTATTTCAGAAAATATTTTTCAAACTTATTTTAAAATTGCTTTCACTTATTTTAACTGAAATTTTTATCAAACCTTCATAACTATCTAGAAAATGCAATTTTTTTAAACATCAAAATTAACATAGAGATGCTGCAATTATTCATTATACTTTCATAAATGGTATGTCATGCCTCTCTCCTCCTGTTTCCCTTTGAAAAAGAATGGTGAGAGAATACATTAATACTTTTCTATTTTTTGAGTAGTTTTCCAAATGGATAAGCAGCGAGACTCAGTAGTTATACAAATGTTTAGGGAGTGCAGTTGTAGGTACAGCAGGTTCTAGCCAAAAGAGTGCATTCCCATTGTTAGTGCTGCACTTGAATCAGACAGTTAACTGGAGCTTATACATATGAAATGTCTGCTGCTTCACAGGAACAGAGCCCTCCTTGCTGAAACATGAGTCATTTCTCGAGCTGTGAGACCATGGAAAGCCCTCTGGACTAGGAAGTACTTGTTCATTATTTTAAAGATGCAAGAAGACACACACAGTAACCTTTAAAAGAATCCTGAGTTATTTATATATTTCAAAAAAAGCAACATAAGAAATGATGAGTTGTTTCCACTGTGTACCACCTGCATTATATACTATTGTTCTAACATACAGTCTCTTATCTGCAAATGTTTATGCAAGTAAACTTTTTTTAAATCACAAAACTTCCCTTTCTGGACATGTTACAGTCACATTGCAGTCATCTGTTCAGCTAGGTTTAGAATAAAGGCATCATCTCAATAATAAGTAAAAATATCATACTGCCCCTTTCAGAGTTGTATCATCTCCCACACGTTCTACTTTGAGGATTATGATGCATGTGGTATATGTTATCTCTGGACTACTACTTTCCCTTGTAGAGACAATTGCCACTTTACTGCTGGATAGTGATTAAGAGCCTACACAGTCAGAAGAGTCATCCAGACAGTATTTTCAGTAACAGAGAGTAGGTGGAATTAGTGTGTGAAGGAAAGCATGCCAGAACTTGTATCTGCGAGCAAGAACTGGGCAATGCCCTCTGGTAATTACAAACCACAAGATTTTCTATTTATAATATTTCTAATACTGCACTGACCCTTCCTGACCAGGAGGCTGTCACACCTCAAGAAGTCAGCGATCCACACAGCAGCCACGTGAGCAAGCGGATGGCCGGGCTGCCCGTCCGGCAAGGCCTTCAGGCCTGGGCCGTGCCACACAAATCCCTCAGGGCAGGGCAGGGCAGGGCAGCACAGCTCGGCCTGCTCCTCGCGCTGGTGGAGCCTGCAGGCAGCTCCTGCTGGGTGCTGGGGTCACACCAGCAGTCTGGCCTCATGAGAACACCTTTATGAATACAGTTGATTGTTTGTATGAAAATAATAATGTAGCTCAAGGGACCAAATAGAAGGAATCTCTCTCCACAGGCAGGTGTGTGCTGTGGAGAAATCCACCTGGGGATTTATCCAATGCTGCGTGAAGGCAGGGTTCCCAGCATCTGAAGTGATGTAGATTTTATTCGCTCCATTTATCCTGTCTTATTAAAGCAGATATTTTATTAAACCATTTATTGTTGGTCCTTTTTATTGAGATCCTGACAGAAGCCTGCACTATC